GGTGATCGTGCTCAATAAATATGGCACTCAGTTTAAGTCGTGTCATATGATAAAAGGCCCTCAAGACGGAAACAAGAAAGACCCCGTTCAATCTAACATACAGAACCGAGGTCATCATCCCTACTGAGATCGAGGTGCCTACATTGCATTCAGAGGCATATGAGGAAGAGATGAACAACGACGAGTTATGACCGATCTAGCCTTAATAGAGGAGGTTTATGACTTAGCCTACTTCCTAACTTTAGCATACCAGCAATGTGTAGGTTAGTACTATAATGTCCGAGTTAAGAAATGCCAATTTCGAATTGGCAACTTGGTACTTGGGAATGTTATGGTACCTGAGTTCATTTCGGGAAAGATAGGTCTTAATTGGGAAGGCCCTATAGATTATGGAAGGTGATTGGTGAAGGGACGTATGAGCTTGAAACACTTGAGGGGAGGTATGTCCCTCATGCGCGGAATATCGACAACTTGAGAAGATACTACGTGTGAGGATTACTCAAGTTCTGACCTATGTACTTTGAAGTTTAGAAATTTATTGTAAGTATGGAGCACCACCTCAGACTGAGAAGTTGTCATTCCAAAACTTGATCGCCTGCCTCAATGACCTATTCAAGAAAACCTACGCTATGAGCACTTCATCTAAAGAATAAAAGGGGAAGCCAAGCTAAACCGCTTTTAGCTCTAAGGCACCCTTAAGCCACCTAAAAACACGTTGACAGTAAGTGACCAACCTATGCAAGTCAGCCCACTCCCAAGCAACTCGACAATGTTTTGACTTAGCCGAATTTTTAATAGGCCAATTCGCTCTTAGAACCTTGGCCTATGCATACTTCGACATCTCGGCTTACGTTTTAGACTTAGCCATTTTTCTATGGTACAAAGGAGGCATAGCGCATTTGAGAAAAGGGAAATCTCGTTACTTGAACAATAGAAAAAAGTACAAGTTCAAAAAAAAAGGCAGAAAATTAATAGTTTTTCGAGCATACATGCCTAGGATACAGTAAGTCAAAAGGAAGAAAATCTCATGTTTCCCAGCAACAAGTCCTCTTAGCCTGCCTCATCCCCGTTGACAGCCTCCTCGTCATCATCCTCTGCCTCAACATCATCCTCACCGTCCTCATCTCTCTCCTCTTCTCAGGTCGGAGACTCCTGGTTGACGACCTGGTCCAATTCATTAGGAACCGACCTAATTGACATGGAGCCGAAGTCAAAGTTGGGGTGAAGGGATTGAAGGAAGCCGCAACATAGCTTAAAGCCCCTTTTTAGAGAGGGCTCAACGGCCTCATCCTTCTTGTGCTTGTACTAACCGTTCTATCGTCGCTTGGTGAATGTCTTCAGTTACTTAGTCCACCATTCCTCAAGCTATTATTCTCGGGCTTGCACTTCGTTGGTCAGATTGGCGATGGTCCTTATGGTTTCCTCCATCTCGCTGTTCATGCCGATGCTAAGGTCACAAAAATGCTTATGATCCTCTTTGTCATTGCAATGGGCCCCCTTCAACTGAGCTTCCAGGGCCTCTATGTTCACCCTCATCTCGTGGGCTACATGCTTAGAAGTGGCAACCTGGCCCATAGTGTTGGCTTGCGAACATTTGAAGTGGAGCTCTTGCAAGATGCACCGAGTCATTTTGGTGTTGACTTCGGTGGGGTCGAGCCCCATATAGGCCCGAACATCTTTGAGAAGGAGGATCCCATTTCCCATTTGAAGGGCGATTAAAGGATCATGAATCTGATCGGTTGTCGAGACATTCACATGAGGGATGAATGGAGGAACTTATGAACTGGAAGTATCGGCCCCATGCTTAGGGGCGGCGATGTAGGGCGAGGAAGTTGTCTGATTTGGAATGACATGGGTGGGGCCGACATACATAGGGTCCCTGCCTTCCTCAAGGTTGAGTACCTCGTATACACGCTCAACCGACTTGACTTCAGTCGACCTGGCTTTGGCCGACGAACGGATCGAGGAGTCTCTAGCCCTCCTCTTCTTCTTTGAATGCCTTTTAGTAGCTGCTAGAATAGATGAAGTACTAGACATATTTGGAACACAAAAACAAAGAGTTAGTTTGGAAAAAAGGAGCATTTCATAATGCAAAATTAATCAACAACAATTAGGCCAACCTACCTACGGGGTTTAGACCAGCTCGCAGAAGCATTGGCTCGGCTAAGAAGTCATTGAGGATTAACCGCCGAGCTATGAGGAGTTGAACTTTGTTGCATAATGCCTATTTGAACTGGATCTCAGGACTCTTTTCGGCTCATGTTTCCATGTGGTGCCCATAGGCCAGCTGTTCTCCTAAGAAAGGAAGAAGAACCTCGTCTTCCAATGCCTCACCTTGGTTGGGAAGTCGCTCTGGAGTTTATAGCCAAGCCAATAACTTAAATAATAATAGTAGGGCTCATCAAAAACCCTCTCAATCTAACAAAGTCTCAAGAAAGATATCTATGTCCAAGGGGAAGTTGAGGTGGTGATAGAGCGAGATGGCCCCTACAATCATTCTAATGGAATTAGGGTGTTGCTGACCTAAGAAGACGCCATAATGCTTAAGGATCTCACAAATGAAAGGATGAAGAGGAAAACTTAGGCTGACAATCAGAGCCTCCTCAAAGACATAGATCTCGGCCTGATTGTGACTCTAAATTGGTCTGGGTCGGGATGAATGCAACCAAAAGTGTGTGGGATTTGGAAAGTTGAGATCATGCTTATGATCTCCTCTCCACTCACCTCGGTAGGTCTGAATTGGGATTTTGTCCTTGTTTCCTGTTGAGAGGTTGAGGTTCCTATATGGGTCCCCAAGCGCTCTTGAGTTGAGGTACCTCGACTTAGGCGGACTCGGAGGACTCCCTCTCTGATTCACTTGAAGACATAACTTAGAATGAAGGACTCATCGACACACTAGGGGAAGAGACTGGCCTTGCCTAAACTGAGCTGACTTTGCCGAACTGGAATTTACCTTGCCGCAAACTTCATCTCTGACCTCACTTTGCTCCTCCACAAGAAGCTCAAAATGGTGTGAATGGGATGGTTTGGGGCCCTTATTTATAACCAAGGGGTGTGGACAACCGGTGGTCAAGATGTGCCCAATCCGATGGTACACAGGGGCGTTCCATTTCAATTTCCGAGGGTGAATTCGAATTTTGAATTTGGGCGCTCATTTCAAAATTTAAACCTACTACGCACACCATCCTGCCCACTAGATTGGTTTGGGTGAGTAGACCAATCTGATAATAGACCGACCGATCAAGTCACTTCGGGCCAAGGACCCACGATGAACTACTCCTTTTGTTGAACCGACCTCGAGCTCGGGAGTGGGGGAAATTGATGAGGGGTGATTTGGCTCTCCAGTGACATCATGGCACATGGCACCTTAGAAACGTCACATGACACCTCAACACCATGTAAGAAATTTCAAACACATTATACCTGCCTTAACTACCTCACCACCACCTCGGCAGGCGAACCTATGAATGCCCCTGAAAGGGTCAAATCGGTCTAAGAGGCGACCTGCTTTTGTTGACATGACCGAGACCGAGTCAGCGACCTGCATGACGTGGTAGTCGACCTCCTTCACGAGTGGGTTATCATCTCCGACTCCTTTGGGATCACGTCACCTTGTCGATGGAACTAGCTCCTGTCCTTCCCAATTCGGAGATAATCAGATAATCTCTATAGCTTCATGCAAAAATTGACTTTGAGCATTAAACCACCTTCAAAAGAGATGGGTCGGTGATCTTGGATGCGTTACGTGAAGCCCACGACAACCAGCACCTATATAATGGCATCCCATTGATTAGAGACGGTATGCGCAATTTATCTCTCAAGCACTATTGCATTCTCGCTCTCTAGAACCCAACATTCATCGCTAACCTAAGCATCAGAATGCCCACCTCGGGTACTCTAACTTCTGTCTTCTTGCAGCTTGACCAATTGACCTTGTTAGCCCAGCATTCGAGCTGTCCTCTAACAGGGAGCACCAGATTGTGCACCACCAAAGCTCATGGAAGTCTATGAACCAAACCCATTTAAGTTGATGGTTTCTAATGTTAATTATATCAGTTTTGTTTAGCATTTAGTGAGTTCATCATACAACTTATTACAACAAGATCTTAAAATATAAATATAAATTGAGTACAACTTGATGCAATATTCCCCTCAGTGAGATGTTGTAGTGGGTATCCTTTGAGTAGGTCCAAAAACATTTAAATTATTCAGTAGCCTTGATGCTAGAATTGCTTGGAGTTTCCTCAACTTGGAGAGATGATGATGGTGTAAATATCTTTGAAACATAAGTAGCCAACTCAACAAAGTTTCCACATCATCCTTGATAGCATTCTAGCCTTGATACTTCTTTAGCACAAAGAAGCTTATTAAAAATTTGCTACACACTTAGTTATATCGTTAGTGCTTTCAAAGAGTTTGTTATCATCAAAACACATAAGGTTTATAGAACTCACCTCATCCTGCCTCTTGCCTCTTGCATGAAGAGTGTGGAGTGCCCCTAGAAGAACCTCAGTCGAGGACAAAATTGGGACACACTACTTGTGCATGCTGCGAAGTATTCTTTTTTTCACACTCGAGCATTTTAACTCTCTTGCTCTCTAGCTAGGCCATTGAACCGATTGCATGGTTACAAGTTACAACCAACTCATCCTAACTAGCTTGGCCTAATCGACTTGAACAATATCAATGAGTAAAATGTAAATGATGATATAATAAATTATACATTCAAAATAAAACAAAAAAAATCAATATTAACTGTGGTAATAACAATGTTATCAAAAGAAAAGGAAAACCACATGCCATGGTAACCTATTAAACCACACAATTTTTTACTTGCAGAGATTGCACCGTTCATGCATCCATGTCTTTTTAGCAGAATGTTTTCATTCATAATGGCAGATATGGTAATATATTTGTTTATTATAAATATAATAAGTACAGGTTTGAATATGTTTTCTCAAATTCTATAAAGGGAGTGGTTGCAAGAGGAATAAATAAAAGGTGGTGGCATTCTTGGCAGTTTCTTTGCCTGATTTGTATTTAACAAACAAAGACCCTGCGGAGCGGCTGGTTCGTGGTTGAAGTCTAAGTGGTTTGGAGAGTCATAAAACAAAGTCTTCCAAATTGAAGGTGCAGTGGGAAAGCTTCTGGGTTTAGTTTATACTGAAAATTTTGATTTATTCAAGGAATTGCATTTTGGCTACGTTGAATCGAAACGGTTAGGTTTGTAACAGGGAAAAACAAGAAAAAGCACAGAGAGGAGAGAGAAAAAGATGCCTTTTTTATTCTTTTTCGCTGATTGCCGAGTTTCGAGTTTTTGACCCTTTTCTGTTCTGGCTGTAATCACTTCAATGCTTTTCGAACTTTGTCAAGTTCATGGGAAAACCAAAAATCCAGCAGATCGGGTTTTGAACGTCGCGGCTTAAAGAGTTCTAATTTCGAGAATCAGTTTGAGGGTTTTTGAAGGGTGGAGAGTCGGATTTCGAATTGGTTATTCGAGAAACAATTGGGAAAATCAGTCCTTGGGTCCCGTTCTCTCCCTCCCTCCCTCCCTCCCTCTCTCTCTCTCACACACACACACACATACACATATACAAGTGACACAGAGACCCACACATCATATGGGGTTAGTGAAATGCTAACCTGATCAGGACTTGAAGAGTATTTAGATCTGTATAAGCCATCGGTAAGCTAGTGGAGCTGTCATCGGTGCTTTTTCAACTGGAAATCGGGTATACAATCTCTCTCTCTCTCTCCCCCCCCCTTTTCTTTTATATTTTACGTTTGATCGGCCGCTCGTTTGAAAACTTCATGATGCTGCTTATTGTTTTTAAGATACATGTTCAGATCTGTTGAGATTTTCTTTCGGTTCTTGGTTTTAGAAAACCTCATGGCTGTTTCCGTATTTATGCTTCCTTTTTCATTTACGATTAGGGACTTAGCTGGCTTGGTTTGGATTTCCTTTAGGCAATGAAGCTGATTTTTTGTTATCCATTTGTTGACTTTGAACTTAGGTTCATATTATTAGGAAGTGGGGTTTTCGTAGTCTTCTTTTATTAGAAAGGGAGAAACTTGATTAATTTAAAGGAAAATATGTACAATTATATATTTTAGAGTCTTTTGAGCAATAAAAACAAGACAAAATATGCAAAAAGTGACATAATCAGTGTAAGGAATCCTGTCCTTGTCTCTTTCTAAATCTATCTGTACCATGTCTTGAGAATTTTTTACAACACCGTCCAATCTACATTGTTTGAGTTTGATATCCATGCAGATTATGGTAATTATTGAAAGTAGCCTTCATATGTTCTTGTTTCTCTTTCCACACACCCCAAAGGGCCACAAATGAAGTGACGCTTCATAAGGTTTTCCTTTTCATCTTTGAAGTGTCTGCAGCGATCTCGAATGTATCCTGAAAATGGAAGAGGTGCAAGATGTTTTTGTCCAAGTGGTGATCAATAATAGATGTCCACAATCTTCCTCCTTTTTTTTTTTTTTTTAATTGATGAATCACGGTCTTCCTCTTTTCCACACATCACACACAAATATCCCTTTAACCATGGCAGTTCCTTATCCTGGGTAGCTCCAAGTTGTAGTGGTATTTCGTCTCTGGTCACAGCTGATTTATTAAGTCTTTGCTTAGCCTCATTCCTCATTAATAAAACCATTTGAGAGGGTTCTTCATTGAACAAGATAAAATCAAATTCATTTTGCTTATAGTTCACAATTTCCTTGCCTGGTAAATGAAGATTGTATTGATCTCTAACAGCTCAAAATTTTTTGGTAATTTGGTCTTGATACCCTCATTTTGGTTAATGCCACTGCAGAATCACTCCCCCCTCTCCACAGCCCCTACACCCTCTTTTTCCCCAGACTAGAGGCTTATGGTGAGCCTCAAGGCATAAGACTCTTTTACTGTTTTACATTTTGTAGATGCTAGATGCATACATGTTTATATTATAAAAAAAAGCCTTCTATGCTTTTCAAAACACTGCACAGGTTCTAATAGACTAGTACTAATTCTGGAAACTTTACTTGCTGTTTGCCAACTCTCAATGTCAGTCAAGCAAGAAATGATAAATAAAGAAGGATCTCTTATCAGTATTATAATAGTAAGAGAGAAGGGTGAGATCAATAATCATGCAGACCTCCTTAGCCTCTCCTTACTAACATGTGTAGAGAAATAGAAAAGGAAAAATTGCAAATTGCACGCAGACCAAGTCAGTAATGAGTGTGGCTTGGACCCCCCCACCTAGTGGATTCTTGAAATTAAACTTTGATGGATGCAGTAGGGGAAACCCAGGACAATCGGGGATCGGGGGGGGTGTTTTTAGAGATGAAAATGGGGTCATCTCTGCTATGTTCTCAGGCCCAATTGGAGTGGGTGA